GGATTTATCTGGGTTTTCAAAAGGCCTCCAATGAGGGGTTTCTTAATGCATTAATGTTCTTATACACTGATAAGAAAGGTCAGAATGTAGAGTCAAGGGATACATAGAAGGATAGAATGTTAGCTAGCTTCAAGACAAACAGATAGTAGGTGCACTGGCATTTATTCAGAGCAGTAGAAAGTGTGAATTAGTGTCCCACGAGGATTTGTGCTGAGACTAATACTATTCGCAATTTACATTAATGATTGGGATATTGGAATGAAAAACAGAATTTTCAAATGTGCAAACCATACCAAATTGGAGGGTACACCTGAGGTAGTATATTATACCTTGAAAGGTACAAGTCTAGCCAGGGCCAGAGAAACAAGGGGATCTCAAAGTACAAATATGCCATCATCAAACTCTGCACCCCAGGTTTGAAAGCCCTTGGATAGAAAAAAATGCAAAACAAGCATCAGAAAATTTCTAGAGGTAGGGAATTCAAAATTAGGGAAATGATGTTAAACCTGCATCAAATCTTCATTAAACTACATGTAAGAATACTGCGTGCAGTCTTGTTGCAATATTATAGAAAGGAAATACAGGAAATGAAGAAGGTGCAATGGACATTTACAAGCATAATTCTAGAAAATGCATAGTTTATACATCAGAAGAGTATTAATAGGTTGGGTATCTTTTCTCTAGGGGGGAGAAAAGGCTGAGGGGTGACCCAATAGAGATCTAGCACAGCCTTGAAAGTTATGAAAAGTTTTGGTCAAATAAGTAAGTCAGAATGCTCTTCCACACAAGTAGAAACATAAGTTAGAGGCCATCAACATAACACTCACCAAAGAGAAACTGAAAAAAACCTTCTTTGCCCAAAGGATGGTGAGAACATGGAACTTGCTACCATGGAGAAGTTTAAGTGAAAAATACAGATACTTTTACGGACAAGTGAGACCAGCATTTAAAGGAGGAGAAAATAGAGGACCATGATGATAGATTTAGACAATGAAAGATGGAAGGATGTTCTGGTGGAGCATGGACTGACTGTGCCCTATGACCTATTTCTATACTGTATGTCCGGTATCCTGAACCCTGAACCGCCAGGATTAACACAAGGGGAAAATCCACTCCGATTAAACATTTTATCCCCATATATAAATAACACAAATGCAAACATAAAAGTAAAAACACATTAACTGTTACTCTTTTCTCTATGTTGACATTTATAATGTAGTTATCATTGTGAAAATGTGTCAATTTTAAATAAAGTTGCACATTTTTATCTTTATTAAACTGAGTATAATGTCAATAAATTATTTCCATGTATGTAGGAGTTGCTAAACGATTGAAAGAAAATGAGATATTAAAACGTAAAGCTTTTTTGCAGTAGAAAGTACCACCATACTAAGTACCATAAAAAGTAATAATCAATCTCCATGGTGTTGAGAATGGAAAATCTCCTGGTAAAATAGGATCAGGAGATGGATTAATTGAGTCAAGAACAACAATAAAATTGAGTCACTATTTTAAAGTATATATTGCACAATGTTTACATAAATACCTAATAAATTTTAAATATGTTCTGTCCTATTTTTAATATTGCGTCAAATCCCTACAAATTTCATAATGAAATTTTAAGCAAACTTGCCACATTGCAATACACCATCCCTACTATTGGTACTTGCAAAGAGAGTTTATTTATAGCATGATATGTTTACACATGTAGTTCCATATAAGAACTTATCCATTTAAATTTCTAATGGAAAAAATGGTAGGAAATGCACATATATACAACTTACATTATAGATAAATTTACGTAAAGTTCATTTCATTTTTTTAAATTCGAGTGATGCTATCACTGTGCTAGTGCTTTCAATTTTTGTGTTTTTCAGGTTCACTTAAGATTTTAAAACTAATTAGCAGCCTATATGATGTGCCAGAGATCTAACTTGCAGTGATCAACTCAATTCCCTTTCATAGAAGTCAACAATTTGGAGCATGTGTTGGGTGCACCATACCCAGTGCCTAGACTGTGAGGCATAAACACTGTGCACAGATTAGAGATTAAAATTACAGTATCTAGAACAACAGCCAAGAAACACAACAGCCGATTGAAAGATTGCCACATGCCCTGTGACTGGAAACCTGGAACTTTAACAAAATAATGTTGGCGTATGTAAATCCCAATTCTTTGATCCCATAAGTCCATTCACACAGCTATAATTGGGTTATTATGTGGTTACCGCTATTCTAGTATGTTAATACAACAATGTTTATTCTGTGTAGCAATGTTTTGCTCATTTGTTTAAGTTGGAATGAGCTGCAGCTTTATTTCAAATGTAATCAGCATAAAATGCAAGCTCCCACCACAAACACCAACTGAAAACCCCCCAATACCATTTAGAGGGAGTTAGAAGAATGCAAGCACACAAAGCAATTAATGATGAATGAGATGTTATTTTCTTGATTATTCTTGAATTCGGTGCATTTTATGCGCAAACTAGTGAGAAAGCATAGCTGTTTTTACCCACAATAAATGGGAACAATTTATGACATTATAGCTGGTAACTTTAACTTTGATATTTATATTAAGCCTTTCATTATTTTATGTGGATATAAACAATCACCTGCTTAAACA